TAAAACATTCCAGAAAAACCTATCCGAAACCCGTTTTTTGTTCAACAAGTTTTCGACTTTATTCGAAACCCTAAAACAGGGTTATTCAGTTATTCGAGATTCGAATTTCATTCGAAAACGGACAAACTCCGGTCATCGAACTTCGAATGCGAACATATTCGAATGTTTTGCTCGAATGATCGAATTTTCGATTTAGACCTCAGTATATTAGTAATGCTCAATTAATCACTATTATTCGAACTACTCACTAACAATCCAGTTTTCCGATCCCATCTTACATCTTCTGCACGTGATTGGGTGCAACGTACTGTGAGGAGATTTTATGTTTTTACTCTGCTATCGATTGTCGAAACGTATCAGCTTGGGTTTTTATAGATCAGCAAACAATATTGTACCCAATACAATATGCAAACCTTATACCAGGTTACATGTAGTATATCTTCTAACAAAGGAAGACCTCGGTCAAACTGGGTTCCAACACAAAATGCAAATGCAAATTTACGAGTGATGGTTTCTCCAGAATGACCACGGACCGCTTAAATTAATAGGGCCGAGAAATGTCAGTTATGGAAAGATGACCGAGTGGATAGCTGCGGAGACTATAAAGGAAGTGGTAATACGTTTGGAATACTTATGTTCCAAACATTCTTGCATTCTTGCAAATTATTCAGGGCTGTTTTTCTGCCTTAGGAACGCAAGGATACATATCAAACAATCTGATCTGCAAATTGGAAGAATGTTTGGAACATAAGCATTAAGAACTTTTTATTCTTTCCTCCATAGTCTCCACAGTTACCACTCGGCCATCCCTCCTCAACTGACACGTCTCGCGCCGCTAACTTAAGCAATCCGTGGTTATCCTGAGGAAGCCATCGCTCGTAAAATTTCCCAGAAGATCATTGAACACGAATTTGGTATTAGTGCCCCAAGACCAGCACAATAACATGCATCGTGGAAACCGTGTGTGTGGAAACGTGTGGAAACCCCCCTTCGACCGAGGGTCCTTTCCTTGTGAGATGATTTGATTCACCAAATTGATTTCTGATTATAGCTAAAATCCTAGGAAAAGTCATTCCACACAAGTTTTTATTCGTAAGTAGAAAATATTTTTTCAATATGCTGATACTTCCACGGATCTCCCTTATAGAGGGATTACAGCCGGTTAGTCGCGAGCTACGTGGGGCGTCCTCAGGTGGCGGATAAGGGAATAATCGCCGACCAAAAGCGACCGCGCCTGCTCTGATAAGCAAGCGGAGCGGAGGACGGACATCCTCCATCAAAAGCTTGCATACTTTTTCCTGGGTAGTTGTGGGAAAGGCGGATTCGGAGCGCCTCTAACAAATAAGCTCTGACCGTCCTTCGCGGGAGATCTGAGCTCAACAAGCTGCTCCTTCATCGCCCCATGGAAATCAAGAGTTGGCCTAGTAAGTCTGCTCCTGTAGGGGAAAAATTTATTACTCGATCAGCAAAAGAAGAGAGATAAACCCTGCACATCGGATCCCGCCTACGGCGCTGGGTGGTAGCAAGAACAGTCAGGGTAGTCAGGGCGCCTTTTGGATTGGACAAAAACGACACGTCTGCCCGGACGACATGGAGACTTCCTCATGCTCTGCACCTACAACGCCAGGACAGTCTCCACAAACGCCGATCTCCACGCTCTTCTCGACGCTGCAGAGCACATCAAGTATCACGTCATCGCTTTGCAGGAAACAAAGTCCAGAAAGAAGGACGTGCGACAGATGAGTGATGGGACCCTCATCATTCGTGGTGAAAAGGTTCCATCACGAAGCGTCGGAGGCGTTGGTTTTGTCGTCCATCCATCTTTCGTCCATCTTGTCGATTCGCATGAGATCCTGTCACCTCGAATAGCCATCTCACGACTACGACCTCCCGTCAGAAGACCATCAGCATCATCAACTTTACTCACCAACATCAGTAGCTGACGATTCAGAGCTATATGCTTCCTACAAAGACGTGGAGCAGGTCGTCCGCAACGAGATGGCCTTCTACAAGTTCGTTGTGGGCGATTTCAACGCGAAGATCGGGATGCCACTAGAAGAGGAATACAGGATCGGGAACTTTGGATATGGGCTCCGGAACGAAAACGGCAACCGTCTCTTTGGGCTTCTCTCCGCCGCATGACTTTTCCATGGAAATTCCATCTTCATGGAGAAAGAATATTGCCGGTGGACTTAGGAATCGCCCAACGGAACGACTCACGCGGAGATCGACCACATTCTCACCAACCGAAGGTGGGGCTTGCTCGATGACTCAGTAGTTCCATCCTTCTGCAGTGGCTCCGATCACCGCCTCCTTCGAGCGAAGGTACGATTCAGTCGAAAGCTGGAAAAGAAGGTCTGCCACAGTACCACAAGAAGGAAGAATGTCGTTTATAACGGTAACAGGCTGGAAGAGCCCATATCAAGTTGTGACTGGCCCAACGAGGAGAACCCAACGTACGACTACGACCGGCTTCTGAAAGATTGCGAGCCTGCGGAGAGTGCGCCTCAGTTATTCCTTCGAGAAGAAGCTGGAACGCGTTTCGAAAACAACCAAGGAATTGCTCGAAAGAAGAAGACTTCTGAGGCAGGATTCGAATGCAACCCATCTCGAGCGACTGATAGCCAACGCCAGTTACAGAACAGCTTTGCAGGGGGATCTCAGAAAGTACAGACAAAGATACTGGAAGCAGCCGAAGAAAGACGAAGTCTCAAGAAGTGCCGAAGGGACCTCTGCGAGTATCATGTACCGCTGGCTGCACTATTGAACGAAGACGGGACTCCGACTTCTTCCCGATACAAGATGGAATCTATCGCGAAGAACTTTCACACCAACCTCTTCCGCTCATCAACACCCGTGCCGATACCGTTGTTCCCACTGGAGAAGTACCACCAAGAATTCTACCTGCTGAGGTGCGTATTGCGATACAGACCATGAAGCCGTCCACGGCTCCAGGACCACATCATCTTTCCGTCGAACTTCTGCGAGCCGGAGGACACCATCTACACGAGGTTCTAGCGTCGCATTTAACATCTTACCCTCAGAAGGAGAAGATTCCCGACCAGTAGAGAACATCAAGAACAGTTCTTCTCTTTAAGAAGCTCGAACGAGAGGATCTTCTACTACTTCTACGAACGCTGAGTGTGCTATACAAACTTCACGAAGATTATTCTCGCTCGCATATCTAGGACACTGGATGAAGCTCAACCGCAAGAACAAGCTGGATTCCGCAAGGGATTCAGTTGCATGGACCACATCCAGACGGTTTTGAGGGTCATAGAAGTCTGCCAGGAATACCGACTGCAACTCTTCCTAACCTTCGTCGACTATGAGAAAGCCCTTTGACAGCGTCGAAACCAACGCCATCCTGTCAGCGTTAGTCGATCAAGGAGTGGACCCAGCTTACGTGAGGACACTACCGACTGCTACAAGGACTGTACAACAACGATGCAGCTAATCCATCCCCCCTGACCATTCCAATTGGAAAGGGGGTTCGACAAGGCGACACCATCTCGCCGAAGCTGTTCACCGCGGCCCTGCAGTGGGTGATGAAGTCATTGGACTGGGACGAGAGAGGCATACGATTTGATGGGAGATTCCTGTCCAACCTTCGTTTTGCGGACGACATCGTTCTCTTCTCGAGCAGTATCACCGAAGCAGAGACGATGCTGAAGGAACTAAACGAAGTAGGGAGAAGATCGGACTGCGAATAAATCGGAAGAAGACTCAGTTCATGACCCGATTATGGAGACGTCTTCCTACGTGTATCTCGGACGTTCGATGAACATGTAGAACAACTTGAGGGAAGAACTTAACAGGAGAGAAAGAGCAGCCTGGGCCGCCTTCGGGCCTCCGAAGGAAGCCACTGACCAGCTAACGGACCCGGAGCTTCGTGCCCACCTGTTCGACTCAACCGTTCTCCCGGCGCTCTGTTACGCAGCTGAGACTTGGCCGACACTGTAGCCACGTCGAAAGCTTTACGGACCACCCACAGAGCGCTCGAGCGAAGTCTTCTGAAGATAACTCGACGCAAGCAACATCTAGTCGGACTTCGCAGTGCGGATATGAGAAGAATGTTCCGTCTTCGTGACCCAGCGGAATACGTTGCGAAAGCGAAACACCGATGGGCTGGTTACATCATGAGAAGAACAGACGACAGATGGACACTAAGAACATCTGAGTGGATTCCTCGCGAAGCCAGACGTTTTCGAGGAAGACCACCGACGAGGTGGGCAGACGTGTTCGTGGAACGGATAGACCAGCTGAGAAATCAGCTGGATACGATTTCTGCACCTGGAACTCGTGGACGCAGCCACCGACCTCAACCAAGAAGATCGTGGATGTCTGAAGCGAGGGATCGATGGAAACTTTTGTGCTGGGGCCCGCACGCCACGTGAAGACGGGCCATCTAAGTGTCTACGTAAGTTATGGAAAATTTTGAGCTGATCTAGGTGATTTTGAGTAACCAGAACGTAGCAGAAAGCTTCTACAAGCTGTCTAATGGCTTTTTTCCAAATTGTTAAAATGGAGCGATTTCAAGAATATAGGGAAATTAGGTGTTAAGACTCTATGATTTTATTGGCATTTCTTAAAACATATTGTGTGTGACTGTTGCGAAGAGCAAATGGACACAGCATCCTACTTCGGTGTACTTTTGTGGCACAGACATGCCCATGAATGTTTATAAAAAATTACGCGAAATTGCAGGCGGTCATTACTGCGACGTCATGTGCACGACTATCAAAGACAGATCAAAATCAAAAAAAAATGACACAACTTGTCTTTCCCCTTGAACAAAATTTTTCGTACAAACAAAAAATAATTTTGTTCAATTAATGCGCATTCAAAAATAGCGATTTCAATAACGATTCCGATTCAAGCTGTGGGATGCGTAATATTAGGCGTATTTTTTTTCAAAAGGCTCTAATGAGCAGTACGGTTGTCTATCAATATTTGGATCATCGTATAATACTTTGCTTAGCGACCAGACCACTTTTTCAGCTTTATTGATACACTAGTTTAACATTAAGAGTATCGTCGTCTTCAGCAGAAGGCTCTGTCCCACATCTTTTATTGACGAGATGGCGGTGCAAGAGCAATCTTCGAGTTAGTTATACTCTGATTAACAGATGTTGTGATCGCAGTGAAATGCGTAATTGAGGGTATACTTACTGTTTTTGTTCTAGGTCCATTTTTGAATGGGTTAGCAGTATGCCGCAAAGATGCCACAATCCAAAATGTTATTACTATATCAGTGAATGGAACCCACAAAAAGGTTGTGAAGTAGAACATTTGCATCAATTCGTGACCCTGGAATAAAAAGCAAATATCCTCCTATTGACTTTGTCGCATATAAAAGAGTGATTGCTACGCAGGGGTAAACATTAGCTTACATTTTTCTGAAAACAACTAAGTTAAAACCCACACTTCCTATTCCGAGTCTCTGGGATGTCATGGATATTATAGAAGCTAATAGTGCTGACAGAAGACTTCCTCCGTGAATCAGAACGCGCATTTCGTTGCGATTTCTACAACAGCTCAATGTAGTGGGCAATACGCTCGTAACTTAAAAAAAAGGTACACTGTTGTAGAGCTGCACTTTCCTATTGAGTTCTTCTCAAAGATAAGGAAAACAATTTTTGAGTAATGATAGCATTTGATCTAAATACTGCAAAATTCTCAAAGATCTGACTACACATTACAAAGAACACAACGTCTACATGTTTTCCCACTCTGGTGTACCAGACTGATACAGTTGCCAAAAGTTTTGTCTTTCAAACAAGATCGACTTTTCTTTTCTTTCTGAGGAGATATAATCCGTTTTGAGGAATCATGCATGATAAATCTTTAGCTACGCATGCTAATATGCCATCTTTGGCAGAGTGATGCACAATTCTTACTCATCTGAATTACTGGCTGCATTCGAGAAACGAATCTATGAAATCTACGAATTCGTGCATATACCGGCACTTTCAAAAAGTGGGCGGACCTTGTCACTGAGGGGCGGAGCCTGCATGATCAAAGCTGCTTGAGGCGAGTTATTTGCGACCTGTTGTGTGCGATTGTGCACAAAAACGTTCCTTGCACAAGGCAAATGTACTGGGAGGAATTTGCCAAAAGGGGTGGGGTCAACATGAAAAGCTCTTAAGCCTAACTTGATTATATACACAGAATAGAACTATTGGGCACACAAAAAATAAAATCTAGTGTGCCGCGCACCATTATGAAGCGCCGTCCACAGAAACAGAATGCCCGCCGATCACCATTGCGCGGCATTCTCCCAACCTCATAATCAACATGTGCAATCAGTTCTTAGCGCTAAAGCTTCTTGCACCGAAACCTGTTAGCACTACAAAGCTAACGTAGACTTTTTGTAAAGAGAGTTAGGCAAATCTTGGACTTTGCAATAATGCTCAGATTTGCATGATTATGATTGTGAAGTTACTGAAATTTTATCCGTTTTTGAAGATAAAGTTTCAAAAACAGATTCTTGTTTGTGGGCTTTAGACCTTACTTGCTATGCTACTAGAGCAACCTTTTCACAGAAATAAACACTGCAGATTTGACGATTAGGATAAAAAACAATGTTCAATTATGAGTTAGAATACATGGCTGCGCTAATTGGCATTAAAAAAGTTGAATATATTGTTAAAGTGCGCTTTACTCACATTCACTTCAATAAACTGTGCCTTTTTTCTGTCCTGAGTGTTAAAATTAGCAGCATGCGACAGCGTGCCAACAACAACAACACTGTTTTCTCCGTTGCTCAAGAATTAATCGAAAAACTAAGAAACAAGAAATAAATAAATAAACTCGTCTTTTCCGTATCATCGCAACCTTGATAAAGTCAAACTCCAAAAACGATAAACAAACGTAAACGCACGCCTTCTTTCGCATCAGACAGAACATAGAAATATAACCGAGAGCCGAAAGTACAAGTGCCACATAGCGGTAGGTGTAACCGACGATATTGAGAACCTAGAATACTTACTCTTATTCTTTTTTGATTTTATGGCAGTACTAACCTTTCCAAAGGTTGGATCCGTAGAACTTAAAAACAGTGGCACTGTAACGTTTTTTAACCTGTATACATGATCACAAATGCAATAAAGAGGTATTGCCGTCACGGTGGGGAAAAATGTTTGTAGTATAAATATTATCCATGTATTCATTTGCTCAGCAGTCTACAACTGATACTGATACGTCATCCGATTAATACACGCTTCATTATTCAAGTTCTCAATCATGTGAGATGAGGTTTATGCAAAACTTTGAACCCTTGATTTATGGTTGTAGGTCATTTAAAAGGTTTTTTGATTTTTGTGTCCTTGACGTTGCCACATGGTGAAAGACTATCAAAAGGCTGATAAAAGTTGTCGCGTATGAAATTTCAAAAGAGGTCTTTTATTTTTGAGATGGCCACCAATGGTGCAGAAATCAATTTACAAGGAAGCTTACATGACTATAAAGTCGACGTAAAAACGCGAGCTGTAAACATTCGTATTCTTGAAGCTCAAATTTAGATGTAAGGTACTTGAAAAAGCAGCATTGTGCGCAGTGATTTTGCAATTCCTTTATGGATGATGCAAAATTGGATTGAACCTGCTCCCTCGGATTGTGAGATGAGGGCTAAAGTTTTGCATTATCCTAGAAGGTCTTTTTACACATAGACGAGGCTTAGAGTGACTTCTGAAACAAATCAAAACTACAGATGAAAATTATCAGCAGATTTTGACTGCCTCATAGCTCATTAGAAACCAAAGCTTCGCAAAAGCTGCAATGCAGAAAAATTGTGGTATATAGTAGTATTAGTAGCTAAGAGTTGCAGAGAACTCTACGCTGCTTAGTATCCAATAAGTTTTTTTTGTTCATAATTTTATGGACCAATCCTTTCGGCTCCAACTAATGCCATTAGCAAAAACAAAGCCACTATACGAAGCGACTTTATCATGAATCATTGGGGAGGAGCATTCAAAGCATGGCTTGACATTGATAAAATTGGAAACTGAGCAGATTTGCACATACATTTATGAGAAGTATTCCTCGCTCACGAAACTGTCAGACCTTTTGTAAGGGAGGTGGCTCTCAGAAAAGTTCGACTGCGCACCGAAGTTAAGTTAAACTGCCTTAAGCTTTATTGATTCATCCAAAATCACTTCACAAGTAAAAAGCATAGAAATACTATAGTTGTGTCAGAAAAACCATAGAAAAAAAAGCTGAATTTAGAAGAAATTGTTGCTTGTCTTGATTTGAGGTGCAAAAAGGATCGAATGATCTAATCGCTGGGTAATTAAGAATGTTCAAAAAACGTGACGATATCTTACAATGGGGCCGACATGTGGCAACAGTGCGAGGTACCGATAAAACCAATTATGGTAAGTTTTGTAACAAGAGACAAGCGAATGTTTAGGCTTTTTTTTCAGCATGCTATGACCGCTTAGAAAGATTATAACATAGTTATAATTGACAGTTTTATCCATGAATTAGATTTTTATAGGTGCGAAAGCAGCAGCCAACAGTCGTTCCAACCCCTTTTGCAACAAGAAACTTCTTGCATTTTCTTTCAGCACTGCAATACACTTTGAATTTTACGCATTCAACTCGTTTGCGCGTTATGATGCGAAGAAGCGAACAACCAACAGAATAGAAACATTGTGAATCGTTTTAAGGAAAAAACACGTAAGCGCTGAATGAAGGAAAGGTGCTTGAAAACAAAATTTGACATTATATTGCGACAACAAACGCAAATTAAGGCAAACACTTGGGCGCATTTTTTGAAATTTAAGTAACAATGTGCAAGAATTTTTGAGGTATGGTTTTCCAGTTTGATTCAAAGTAAATCTAACTGCAACATGCAAGCATAGGTAGGCACACAGGCAGACATTGGGCATCGTTTGTATAGAAAATGATAACGAATGCTGTCCTAATATCAGAAAAAGTGAGCAAATCCCAAGCTAAACACCAAATGTTGTCAAAGTTGCTGAGTATAAGATATGCAATTCCCTAAAATGCGGAAGTAGCCACCATTTTAAAGAGAGTATGGTCTAAGATAGCCGTTCTAACGCCATTCTCACAAGATCTTCCACAGAATTGTGAATTTTCATAATATTATACTCAAGAGTACCAAAGAAGGTTTTTGCTGAGTTTTGGACGTCTAAATCCGATAGCATCCGGTACTTTTTATAAGCCCGGACTCATGGCTTGAAGCAAAAGACCGGAAATGAACAAACAAACTGAATTTTACAGCGTATCTATTGTAAATCTGCGATTTTGTGAAGATTAAATTCATACTGTTACCCCTCATTTTCGCAAATTTCGTCCAGAGCTATTACGAGTGTATAGCTCTAAGCGTCCCCGTGTTCCTGTAATCGCGCATATTGGCAAAAAAGCGGGTGTATCTCAAGAGGCGCGATTTTTATTACCAGTGAACACTAATTAGCGCATTTTTAGTATTTGATGATGTTTTACGAGAAAATCAAATTCGAAGACGTTATGATTCCCATGATTTGTTTGACACTTATTTTGAAATGTGTTTACAGTGTTGGAAGTCAAAAACTCGTAAGATGCCACCATTGGCGTTTTCGTCATTATTTTAACCTAGTTTTCACCAGAAGCCGTCAAACTTATCATGTAGTAGCTTCAAATAGTTACTAAGGTGGAACCCTTTGTTTGGTATTATAGAAAGGCTGCAAAGCTCTTGATTAAGCTGTTATGTTGGTGACCTTTAGAGAAATCGCGCCTTGACCGTCTCCCGCAAAAAAATTGCTCAAAACTAGCTGTAGGGGATTTACAGAAATTACGTAGCATGAGAGTTGCATTGCTTGCAAAATTAGCGAAAGAGTAGAAGATGCGATACATAACCGTAATCATTTCGCCACAATTTTTTACGAATTTGTATCAAGCAAGCTCGTAAGTTTTTTTTGCAGATTCCAGGAGTGTTGACTTACAAACGCTGGTAGCCAGGAAAAAAGTTACTCACCTGGACTGATAAAGCTCACGCTGCAGCCGATTGTTGACGTATTCTAGATAAGAAGACCGTGGCTCGGCAAAACCGAACATCTCGAAATTTTGAAAGAAGGTTGCTTGTACCCCAATGAGAACAGAGCAGGTTCAAGCACACGGCATGCTGCCCCTGCTTATGAACCTGCCCCCTGATCCCGTACGCTCAAGTCATTCTTACATGTGTTCGGACAAGTTTGCGATTCCATTTCTCAGCGTCAGAGGAGGCGGCATCTCGCAATGTCATAAAAGTGAGGGTATTGCAAAGACTCTATGTCCTAACCATTGCGGCAGCTGTTCCACTCATCCAAATTCAAAATGAGGGACCGAGGTAAATGCTGATTTTCGCCATTTTCGCCCTTTTCAGAGGGAATTTCCGGAGTCAGCGCGTCGAATTACCAGGTAAGCGAAAAAAACTAGGTCAAGGATCTGCCGAGCCACTGCATTTGAACACCTTCAACAGAAAAACTAAATAACAGGGTTTGGCGAGTTAGCAGCTGGATGTTCTAGAGAAAACCTACCACTCGATTGTAAAAGAGCCTGGATGAGAGAAAACGAAGACATATTCTCTAGATACAAAGCATGAAAATTATGAAAAATTATGCGAGCAAAGTGTCAAATCTAGTCCGGCTGAGGCCTAGCTGGAGAGGTTTCCATTAATCAGAAACAGGCCGCTTTCTTTTTTTCAAAATTCATGCATTCTTCGGAAAAAAGTGGGAAATCAATAAATCAACGCCAACCAATAATTTTTGGGCGAGAATGCACAGTGCATGTTGCCAACTAATTATAAATGTTAAAATACTATTGCTTACCATAGTTTAGTATTTACTTTGCACGGCTTGTTTCAGTCATAACGTTAATCCTTAGCAAACGCGTCACTATTTTTACTTAAACCCCATCACACATAATCACTTTCAGATGCCGTTAAATTTGCTCACATGTGTTATTATCGAATGTGGTAAACATATGGTGCAAAAGCGCCCTCCGACGGTCACAAGGACGTTCCAGATTTGTAAATACAATACATGTTGCTTTGTAACCTGTGCAAAGTTTGTCCACCATTTGAAGCGATTGAGATAGTAGAACGCGGGATATAAAATAGGGAAAAATCTGGCATACATAGTCGTCAGGAAAAATATAAGTGTGAACAAGTTGATCCAGCTCTGAGACAAATTTTTATCAATGATCAATCTCAAATGATTCATTGTCAGGCCATCTATAGATCTATAAAATGCGCTTGTAATCTTTCAACTTCAATCAACAACATCAATCTCTCTTCTGCAATTTGAAGAAACCGTTAAAATTTTTGGAACATCAATTCGTGCTCTTTATGCGAAATCTAAAGCAAATCATACAAAAATAATAAACTCTTGTTTCTGGCTGTTTTGTGAAGAGGCAAGGAATGAAAAAAATTTGTCTTAAAATGCGACACAGAGCATAGAGCTGGTAAGCCATTACGCAAGCGTACGGAAATGAAGGGGGCAGAGAGGGGGGGGGAGCGTGGATGAGAGCTTCTCATCGTTGAAGGCAACGTCCAGGCACCTAGCTTCGGTTCCGGACTGCAGATTTTATGAGGGTTACCATCACGAATGGGTGGGTTTTCAAAAGGCAAAATGGCAAAAGCATTTACAGGACTTATAAAATGAAGGGTCGGGTGCATCAGCATCTCCATTCCCGTGCAGTTAGGCTCAACAAATATATGGCGCAATCAACGACGATTTGCAGCGTTTCGGCATGTGCTAAATGTATACTTAAACCAATCTGAGTTACAACATACGATCCAGGTGCCCACACTTGCCTGAGCAAAAAAAACGTTTGTGTTGGTTTATCCGCTGAACAATAAATGATCGCATAAAAAGCACATAAAAGAGTACCTCATTCCAGCAACAACGGTAGTAAAAACTACTGAACATCCTCGATCCTCGACTTCTCCACATAGCTATAATCGCACCAACACATAGCAATGAACAAAAAAGTGCAGTGAGGCCCAGCAGATAAAGGAAAGAATCAACGATAATTTGCAGCAGCATTTCGACATGTGCTGAATGTATACTCGTAAACCATTCAGAGCTACAGCCAGCGACAATGTCATTGGAACAGGTACATGCCTATAAGTATCTGAATTGCCTACGCTATAGTCAAAGAATAATTTTTGGATACATAATATTATGGCGAAAGTTATTTAAGTGCTTGTCGCAGTGTGAGTAGATGAGCAGGCATGGTTTTAGAAGATCTCCTGTATAATATAAACACATTTTACACCTTTGTCGAGAATGTTGCAAGCAGTAGCATAAGACTTTGGCATATTAGGTATTTTCCATGATCCCAAACAAAACGCGGGATTATTCGCTCAAACCCTATCATTCAAAGGACCTACAAAAATTCTACGCGCTCTATCCGTATAGCTCTGTTATGTTCGACAGTTGAGGCTCAAGTAGAAATGAAAGTGAAAAAGAATGAAATATAGGTGTAGAGCTAAGAGACAGTCTAATTCGTACTACCAAGTATTCTCACAATAGGGCATACATAATTGGAGGGCTACTAGAGAAAGTCAGGGGGAAAGTCAAAGTATTAGGGTGTCCCATAATTTTTTACCGCTTACATCCAAACATCAGCATATCTCGAGAACTGTGAGAAATAAAGGTAAGATAACATAACCGTACATATGCATGTAAGGGTGCAAAAAAAATGTACTCATCGTTTGTTTGTAAGTAACTCTCTTTTAATGAAGTATTTGAGAAGCATTAGGAAACCTTTTGTAGAGCGAGGTTGAACTTAGATTTATAGTATGGAGCGAATCATCGATCGCTCTTCAACACTGTAGGATTAGGGTAAGAACTTTCAGCATAGGAAACTATTGTGGAATATACCACTTAAAGGCAGCGTCCAGGCAAGATTCATCCACGCAGATTAGCACATAGTTGTAAAGAGGGGCCCATGAGTATCCGATCTGCGTTGGTCCAATCCTTTGATGTGCCCTCCAAAAGGAGATACGGGCCTGTGATACGTATTACAAACCGCCCCCTCGTACCACAAACCACCCCCTGAGGACGAATGCTTACGCAGGTGCACAGTTGCACATTGCAATGCAACTGCATCCGTGCGGTTGCAGCTCCTCCCTCTGGCACGACGATGGGGACGAGCAATTCGAAACTCGTCCGCCCCTTGAAGAGAGGGTCTCGAAAACTGTAGTCAGAGCCACGGAAAGGCCCCAGATTGGCAGAAACACGAGAGGCGAAATTTTGCCCGGACGCTGCCTTCAAAAAAATTTCCAAAAAATCTGAAAAATCATGTACTAGGGTATTCGCGCATGCTGATTCCACATGAAAACTTTTTACGAGTGTCTTCAGCTCTTTTGCCGGTGTAATTACATTTCTGACAAATGCCGGGAAATGAGTTACTACGATTTACCAGAGATAACTTAAGAAAGAAGCACCACAGTAAAATGGAAATTTCAAATTCAAAATCAGCGGCTCACATTACCGTAGTATAAGAGTTTTTGGCTTGTTTAATTTTGTTTCGAGGGAGAATATGACCTCCAACGGCCTAAAATCCTTGTCGAAATTCGTACCGTAACCCTATAGCAACGAAGAGCGGTAGATGATTCGCTTTATACTGAATATCTAATTGTAAGTTCAACCTCGCTCTAAAAATGTACCTAAAACTTTTCAAACCACTTTATGTTACTTACAATCAAACAGTAGGTACATTTTTTGGGACACCCTATATAAGCTATAGGATCATGTTCTCAGACAATTGCATCGGGAAGTTCGCGGGTGCTTGCTCGGCCACCAATCATCTATGCCGCGAGCTGCCCGGTATAAACGATATTGGAGCCGGTAAGTGACCGCGGCGCATCCTGTAAGCGCCTGATAGTTGACCCGATTAACATGCTTGTGAGGCCTAGGAAGAGTGAAAAATTTTTGTCCTGTCTATCATGACAACGACTGAGTACAAATTGAGCAGCTTGTTAGCTTGTCTGTCGCATCATCTACTGTCTTCGATAACACTCAACCGATTGCTAAAGTTTGTTTCATGAGCATATAAACTCAGCCGTCATACAATCCAACCCCAGAAGCGATTACCACCCCCACAAACACTTAAGGTAGCCCCACCGCTGCGGCCTACCTCACGCGGGTTCTGCCTTAAGCTACAGCGTGTAAGAAGTGCGCCCTTTGATAAGGCCCGCGGCACGCCGAGTGAGGTGATTGGGCCGCGACTCTCCCGATAAACTTCATCCAATTTTAACTTCGGCCGCGGCGTTCCCGGTAAAATATACATGGGCCGCGGCGTGCGCGGCTGAAACTTTAAGGGCCGCGGCGCTCCATGTAGCAGCTTTGAGGCCGCGAACTTTCCGATGCAATTGTCTGAGTTGTGGAAGTACGCAGGACATCTGGGGGCGGAGTTTGCCATTTTACAATCATTTTTCTTTGATTTTAGCCATGAAAAAAAATTTGGAAAATATACAATCAAATGAACCATGTCTTCAGCATATGCTAGAATAAATGCGGAACTTTTTAGGTTTTTTGAGACCGAGATACGATTTTTAACGGTAAAGTTCGTTTCTATCTACTATCAGATTTCAGCGTCAATTCCACGTGGAATATGAGTTAGGCTCTTCATACATATCTAGTAGAGCTGCCTTGCTCTGTTAAATGATCACTGATCACTGAAATCTTTTTAATCAAAGGAGAGGTACAAAAAGACGATGGTTCTAGTAGAAATGGTGATGAAAAATTAACAACTCAATATAAACATACTGTGTTAGCAAAACAGAATGACAAATGAACACGTCTACATTGTCAAGTTGATGAGCCACCGTCGCCTGGTTGACTCCAAGATGTCAGGCTGTTGGGGGAGGAGCTTGCTGTTTGAGTCACCATAGGCGTGGCAAACATAAGGGGCCATGTGTGCACTTTGCTAAAGTTGATTAAAGCTTGTTCCATTGGGTTGATACATAATCGATGCATGTTAACATATCCTTGAGCGGCAAAGGTATAACAATCAATCGTTCCAACAATCTCATGAAATTTGATTATGGAAAGTTGAAAAGAAGAATTTAAATTTCAAAAATTCAAACATCTGATCTTTTTTAGAAAAATCTTACAACCTCCAACTTACGAAAATTATTTGTAGCATCAGCTGTGCATGTACAACTTACTGTATTTTTTCCATGGCTGAAAGAGTTGAGATATTAGAAACTGCATGTTTCAGCAAAATCAATGCTGGATTTTTCCGTCAATAATTCTCACCCTTTTTCGAGCTCTGGTTGTCGAAGAATATGAAGTCTAGCATAAAATACCGAAAAGGCGACATTTTCAATATTTTTAGTTTTCAACCAATTAGGATAAAAACAAGGAAGGTGTACATATGAAAATCTTATGTGCACACTATATTCTTTATCATGTTGGGAGTTCGCGGGATTCTTGTTAGCGGAATTAATATTTTCGGATTTTCATAATTTTCTAGTTTTTACCCATAAATTTTACATGAATCATACATTCTGTGATTACTTAAATAGTGTTTTGTAGAGCTTGCTTTGCTCTATAGAACAAAGTTTGATGATAAACCAAAAGTTCTTTCGCACCATTTACGAAAAGTCGTAACTTCTTTCTCTAACAATAATCTCGCACGACAAAAATTTTTCAGGAAAAGCAAAGCGTGTGTTTTCTAAAGGCACTTGCCTGTTGTCTAGCTTTGGCGGCGGAGATAAAATTAGGAGAAGGAAATCAGTTTAATTTTGGAATTTTGGGGCAAATCCGTTAAGAAATCAGGACTGCGTCATAATAACCAAAACAGGTAGTAACCTAAATTCGAACCCTTTAGCCAGGACCCGGCTCGAGGTGGGCAAATGACAAGCTGGAAATCGTTTTGGGGCCAAAAAGCAAAGGGAATATCGTTTTTGCGGGATCTGGGGGGGGGGGAGCCCCGGAAGAATATTCCAAGTGAAAGCAAAGGAAGGTCGAATCATGCTTACCTTATACATCTAATTCACTGGGAAATAGTTTTCGTAAACCTCAACGCAAAGCAGAGTTCGCGCGCGCTACGTCGCGTTGCCGCTAATTGCCGCGTGCGCGACGTCGCATGAGCGATGCCGATGAACAGCATGATTACATGATCAGTTCCAATGCAGGCGTAACGATATAGCACCAAATTACGTAAGCGAACGAAGAGAGGCTAGTAGAAACAAAGTATAAATTATTATGAAAAACTTATGTGAATGGGAGGAGTAAAAAATTCCGAAAAACTTGCAAAACTGGCAAATGAAGATGTGAATCCAAATGGCTCGTTGCAGCGCACAGATGACCATACGATATGAAACTTGGTAGGTACATGAATATGGGCCTGCAGGGCTTAACTTAGAAGTTTCATTAAAAATTATGTGACTAAAGGTTGTGGGAAGCTTTTTTGTGAAAATTTCCCACTATCAAGAAATTGGAAAAATGGCTCGCTTGCAATGCAGAGGTGACGAAATCGCGCGACATTCGTTGCGTACATGCGCAATAGGACTAGGGAACAAAGTATGTAAAATCATGAAAAACTTTTGTAATTGAAGAGCGTGCTCAACTTTTCTCCAAATTAGGTGGGCACCAATTGCCCACCTAATGTCCACTTCAGGTGGGCAAAATTTTCAATTCACATAACTTTTTCAAAATTTTTACATAAATCTGTTGTGCACCTAAAGTTTACTAGATGGTGAGATTTGGTTTCGAAACTCCTCCTCTTGTCTTTGTTAGAGCCCAAAATCGCATCAGCAGCCTAACTTTCTAACAAGGGAAGTACCATCAATGGCCGTGGCCTTTTGATATGAGATGCATATCTTCTGAAGCAGCTTCGAACGCTGATTTCAAATCTGCTTTCCGTTTCTGCGGAACGGTCTTCTGAAGAGAGTTATGGAAGCCTGAACATTCTGTTTTGAGGGCGCCCCTTGAGTTTGAGGGCGCTGCTATGTGCATTGGTGGTGCAGTAATGTAGTGGCTAGTTGCTGACATTGAAGATGAAAGGTCGGTGGTTCTAACACTGTGCAGAGCGAACTATTTTGCTTATTGAATGTAGGTTTGAAAGCACTTTAAATCGCCTGCAGACACTTACTGTAATGCCTTTGCATAAGT